TGGTATCAGAAGCCCTGGCGTTCCTTGGGGAACTATATGAGCAAGCATGTGTTGGGTATGGTTAATTCAACCAAATAAAATAAAAGTCAGTCATAAAGGTAAAGCAAGTGTAAGAGTTATCACAAGGTGTCTTGATCTAGTAAATACATACGGGAGAAGCCCGAGAGTGTTGTTAAATATAATAAATCTAAATAAAGAAATGAATAAAATAGTTGAACCTTTAGTGGCTTGCCCTAAAATTGCTTGAAATTCATTGTGAAGAAGTTGCATAATTTTGGATCCCACGCAACGACAGCGCTTGTTCTTCGCCGCCTGAGACTTGCAAGTAGTATTATTCTTCTTCTTTGACTGACAGCATTTGTCATAGTGTCCAATGCGGCTACAGGAGCGGCACTGAGCGTTGTTGGCAGGGCACTTCAGTGTCCTAGCCCAATGACCACGACGGCCACAGTTATTGCAGGTGCTGTCAGCGGCAGGGCATTCAGAACCATGCCGACGAGCACAATATTGGCATGAATGACCTGGCGTCGAAGTCTGAAGTGATGCTGAAGATTGATGCGAAGCTGAAGTCGGATGTGAAGCTGAAGTCCGGTCACGTCCTTTGTTCTTCTTATATGCGGAGATGGCACACAGCTGGTTAGATGGAGCACGAATGGCAGAAGTCGCACTTCTGGTGGCTTCGTAAGAGCGGCAGGTGGTGACAACATCCTGTAGAGAGGAGGCAGTGTCGAGGGAGATAAGCTTCTGAATAAGCTCTTCGTCCCGCACGCCCATGAGGATAATCATCTTCAGCTGTGTTTCCTCACAAGTCGACGAGTTCCCAGGACAAACGTCAACCTCCTCAGCGATGCGTCTGAGTCGTACGTAAAAATCGGCAAACGACTCACCCTCCAGCTGCTTACAACTGAGAAGTTCTCTCCTACGGAGAGCTTCATTGCGGAGGCCCTTGATATGCGTCTGTAAAGCATCCAAGACGTCCTTCACACTCTTGTCTGTGTCGTGGGGAATTTGCAGGGTGTGCTCCAGGATACGTTGCGTCTCTAGGGTGAGACACATCCTCATCTGGATCAGCTGTTTCTCCCTAGACAACCTTGATAAGTCGACCATCATCGAGTAATCGTCCCACCTCCGACGCCATTCACAGAATACCTGGAACGAGGCATCAGCTTGGAATGGCGGTGGACTCTGAGCGAGTGCTTTCTGGGGGGGGGGCAAAGAAGTTGAAGAGGACCCTGCAGGTGCACCTGTGGACGAAGAGGCAGGTGTAGTAGCTGCTTGAAGGTTAACTGGTGCCAACAACTCGATAATGGCACTGAACCTGGCATTTTCGTGTTGACGTCTGTGATTCTCTTCACGTCTTCGCTCGTCGTCTTCCTGTCGCCTCCTGATGTCGTCTTGTCGTCGGTTTTCTTCCAAAAACTGAATTAAATGAAGGAAGTCGACACCTGTGGCAGATTGCGGACGTGTGTGGTGGGGGCTAAGGGTGGGTGGGGCCGCTTGATCCACTTCCTGATCCACTTGGAGTCCACTTACTGCACCGACATCCGTCTGAAATAGGGCTTCTTGGGTATCTGAAGAAAACCCAATAAATTCCTGATCTTCCATATGGCCTGGTTTATTTCTCTCACAATTACTGTAATTAATAAGTGAGCAGAAGAGCAATCGTCTTTAAATGGAAGATATCTGCGAGCGTCTGTGTGTGTGTGTGCGTTCGTTCGTGCGTGTACTCGGGGCAGGCTGGCTAGCGGGCTGGCGGTTACAGCAACTCTCCTCGCTGGCTCAGACACTCAGTGCTGGTCGAGACATGAACGGGGATGGATGTCAAAACTTGAGCTCTCCCATAGCTCTTAAAAAGGCTCCCCTCTTTTGTAAAAAGTGCAGGAACACGGGGAAACACTTTAAAGACACTAAAGGGCACACACAACACTGAAAAAGCACTTCACAACACTGCACTGTAAATCCAGGAATATCGTGTTGAGGTACGCGCCAAGATCCACCAGACAAGATGGCGGCTCCGAGAGAGATTCTGTGTCCACTCCAATTCTGAATAATGTGATGTCCCAGCTAAACACTGTGCCATGTATGATACTCAGGTGGTCCTTGCACTCAGGGGTAAAGGAAACACTCTGATGTCAAGTCCGTAAGTTCTATTCCTGGTACAAACACAAAGGAGTTGAGACAAGGGTAAACAGCGTCCTGTCTTGGAATCTCTCTGGGTATCTCTCTGCGCATGCGCGTACAGCGCGCATGTGCCCAAAGCATGAACTAACACTTGGTGACAAAAGGGAGTGTGAATATAAAACATATAATACAGAGACCTGAATCAATAATGGTAAGTAGTACAGAGTTACATATTACAGGCATATTCGTCTCGTATATCTACACTCAGTAACGAAGATCTTATTGAACTAGATGCACAGAAAATTGCAGAGGAATAAGAGGAGACAAAATGTAGAATAAGAACCTGCACCCCGCAAAAAGTTTTCAGTGAAACATATGGCAGAGGCATTTGCTACAATTAATAAAGCAATGCAAATGTTTATTGGCATGGATCAAAATTATGAGCGTTATGCCAAAGTTGACAGAACGATCCAAGATTCACTTGCTTGCTACAGAGAAATTTATAATGAAAAGAAAAAGGAAACTGTGCAGTCCAAATTGGACATCTATTTCAAGAAGTCCCCCAGTGCTGTCTCCTCACGCCCCACCAGTGCTGCCTCTTCACTCCCTCAAGATGAACCAATACCTTCAACCAGCAAGTTTTCACAGCACATAAACCTGTCTGAAGAAAGTGACATTGATGACCCACCCAGCCCTGTCTCCTCTTCTGCTTCTTCCAATTAATACACAGCGAACCCTCGCTTTACGCGGTTTCACTTTACGCGGTTTCACTTTACGCGTGTCTGCATTTACTTCTACATTTACGCGGTACCCTGCCAGAACCAGAATTCCCACTTGGAATTCCCACTACTCGGTGCATCTACTCATATATGCGGGTGAAGTATAATTTTTTTATTTAGCTCATAAAATTCATACAAATTACCCGCCCAGAATATAATTTGCATTGCTGGAATTCTTACAATTTGATGATCATTTTGAATATAAGCATCATAGATTTTGCATTAGACATACAAATTTTAGATCTAATGCAAGTATTTTGTTTACTCAGAGCAAATATATTATCTTTTGTACAAAATATATGACGTGTATATTCAAAATATTCCTGGTCTTGCAAGGAATCCAGCAATGTGAACTATATTATCCAAACTTAAGTCTGAGGTATTATTTATTACTAAAAAGGTAAATATTCTGGTTTCTCCCAAACATTTCTCTGGTAGGGAGGGAAGGTGGGGGGTGGGGGGAGGGAGGGACCGACCGACCGACCCAGCTGGCGTGGTGGGAAGAGGAGGGGGAGGCAAGGTGGGGTATTTTGATTGACAGATAGTGTCGTGAAGAATATTTTTTTTTATTAACTGAAGATATTTGTTTTAGCTCATAAAATTCATACAAATTACCCAGCCAGAATATAATTTACATTGCTGGAATTCCTACAATTTGATGATCATTTTGAATATAAACATCATTGATTTTGCATTAGACATACAAATTTTAGATCTAATGTAAATATTTTGTTTACTCTGAGTAAATATGTTATCTTTTGTGCATAATATATGACATTTATATTCAAAATATTCCTGGTCTTACAAGGAATTCAGCAATGTCAATTAAATTATCCTAACTTTAGTTTGAGGTATTATTTATTACTGTACCTTAAAATCTAGTGTTTTCCCCCAAACATTTCTCAGAGAGGGAAGAGCCAGCGAGTGTGAGAAGAGGGGGAGGGAGTTGAGTTCATTATTTGAATGGACATTAACTTGGTGACTGTATTTCTCTATTTCTCTTAAATATTAATTGTGTGCGTGTACCATCATAAAATTAAGATGTTATTATTACTAGAACATAGGTATTGTGTCAGAAAAAGTGGTGTTTGGGGGTCGGCCCGGTCTCTATTTCAATTAATCCAACATGTTATGTTGTTCACTTTACGCGTTTCCATGGGTTCAATTGACCGCGTAAAGTGAGGGTTCACTGTAGTCTCCATGTATCCTGTAAATAGAAAATTATGGGGGCCCTGTGTGCATTCAGCTGACTACATTTAAGGTAAGTGCTCAGTCACACTGTATCCATTCCTCATTATTTATTACGTTTAGTGTACTGTATTTCATTGTAGATTTTTTTTTTTTTTTTTTTTTATGTTCGACTTGCGACCTGGATTTGGGTCCCTAACCCCGTCGGAAGTCGGGGAGCATATATATATATACAGTTGTATACAGTAGTACCCCGATTTACACGGTCAATTGAACCCACAGGTTACCGCGGAAAGTGAAAACCGCGTAAAGTGAACAACAGAACATATGGGATTAATTCCAATAGAGACTGGCCCGACCCCCAAACTCCACTTTTTCCGACACAATACCTATGTTGTAGTAAAAATAACATCTTAATTTTATGATGGTATGCACACACAATTAATATTTAAGAGAAATACAGTTACCAGGTTAATGTCCATTCAAATAATGGACTCGACTCCCCCCCGCCCCCTTCCCAGCTCACTGGCTCCTACCTCTTTGAGAAATGTTTGGGTGAAAACACTAGATTTTAACATTTAGTAATAAATAATACCTCAGACTAAAGTTAGGATAATATAATTGACATTTCTGGATTCCTTGCAGGTCAGGGAATATTTTGAATGTAAACTTCATATATTTTGCACAAAGGATAAAATATTTGCTTTGTGTAAACCAAATTATTACATTAGATCTAAATTTTGTATGTCTAATGGAAAATCCATGATGTTTATATTCAAAATGATCATCATATTGTAAGAATTCCAGCTATGCAAATTATATTCTGATAGTGCTAGCAAAAAAAAATTATCTCGTACCTATACAGTATTATTGTTTTACGTAATCCTGTTTTTTTTTTTTTTTTTTTTCAGAGAAATTTAGATGAACCAAACCCTGAAGGCATTTTCATCATGGTAATACCTCCCCCAAATGTTACAGGAAGTCTTCATCTTGGTCACGCTCTTACAAATTCTGTTGAGGATGCCATCTGCCGCTGGTATGTACAATATTTAGAATAGAAACTTAATTTTTTCACAAGGAGTTTATGAAAAGTGGCTGTACCCATCAGACTTAGTTAAAAAAAATTTTATGCTTTGTGATGTGACAAAGGAAAATAAAGAGATAAAATAAAATAGATGCACTATGGAATTCCCCAGGGTGAGTACCGGTATGAGAGTGGCCTGAAGGTGTGTTGATTGTTTATGGAATGATTAATGGCTATTTTCATCAGTTTAATGTTCTTATATTTACTCAAATCACAGTACTGTACTGTAATCAAATTATGTTTAACTCTTAGCAAACAACTCCACAACTTCAGTGGTGAGTTAGGCAGTACATGGCCTTAAATATTTTCAGGGTGGCCTAAGGCATCCACAACCTGTGTAGCATTGAAATACACAGACTAGTAATGTAGGAAACAGGTACCATTAGTTTATGCACTAACACATATTTCTTGACCTACTAGGTATATTGATCAATGTACTATACAACCTGAAAAAGTTAATGGAGTCTGAGGAACATCATTGAATTGTAAGAAAATTGCTGAATGTTAATTTTATCTCAATTCTTGTTATGCTGCTGCAGCAATACTTATCACCACACATGTCAGACACTCAGGGTACCCTTAATGCTTGGAAGTCTACCTATGATGCCTACTTCCCACTCTAAAAGTGGGTTGGCAGTAGGAAGCACATCCAACCATAAAACTTGCTTCAAATTTGCCATGTCATCAGGTAATCATGGCTAACCCATGCAAGCATAGAAAATGTCCATAAAATGGTGATGATGGCTTACAATTTTATTTTTTTATTGGGATTAACCCACCTGGGTACATGTCGCTGACCCACATCAGGAAAAAAAATAAATGAAGCAAAGATAAATACAGAAATGGAAAATATAAAGCAAATAAAGAGTGAGAAATGATTGAAACCCTGCAATTATGTGTAAACTAGGCAGAAAGTCAGTCAGATAGCAACCTGGGACTTGGTCACAATATTTGTGATCCCATATGGTAGCAGGGTCTACCATTAGACAACACATTATGCTTCCAATATCTTCCCAGTCTGTAGTACTTCCCTTTTTGATAGCTGCTGTGTCTACTACCCACAACAAGTCATCTTTTTTATTTGTACCTTAAGCATTGTTTATTTGAATATTTCATGCAATTAAGCCATAGACTGGAACTGTATCACACAAAATGGCATTTCATACAAGGTACCACAAACTCTTGTCTACAAGTCCTTCAACAGTGGAACATTGTAAATTTGGCTTTCCAAAAAACTGGCAGTACAGTGTTGTATTTTAAAATATGTTAGGGATCCTCAATATGCATTGGGGATGTGTTTCAGTGTAAAGCAACTTTTAGTGAAACATTTTATATTGAGGAATTTTCCCCACAAGAATGAATATAAATGGGGATATACAGTATGTATTCCAACATGTACAGTTATAGTACTTAAAAATCAGGGTAAATATGTACACCCCCTACACGGCTCAATATCATTGCGCAATAAGTTGTCTACGACTCCAGCGCTCATAGAGGCAACATGGCAGACACAGATATGGCATGTATAGCCATTGCATTAGCCTATTGTGTTCAGAAAAAAAAGAAAAAGAAAAAGCATCAGTGGATGAAAGAGTGGTACATGAAAAGACAGGAATATAGCCATGAAAATTTGTTAAAGGACATAAGAGTCAGTGAACCAGATGATTTCAAAAACTTAATGCCCATGGATGATGCAGCATTTGATGATTTACTGAAGATGGTAACCCAATTGATTTCCAAAGGGAACACTGTATTGTGGGAGTGTATCACTGTAAGTCAGCGGTTATCAGTAACATTGCTTAGTAGCGCATGTCCCCTCAGGCAATCAGCTGTATCATTATGGAGACATGTGAAACTTTTATACACTGCCTCAAAGATCCTTTGTGGCAGACTTGTTGACGGGAAACACATTGCTGCGACGAAGGTAGCACACACATACACTGACGGGTTATTACAAAATATTTCACTCACATGACGCAATAATACACGTATTGCACAATAAAAATCAATCTGATTTTGATTCCTTCAATATATTGCATTATTCTTCATTACTTACCCTAAACTATCAATATTATTACGCAATATTGGTGTTTGCGCAATAATATTGACCTTGTAGGGGCTGCTTTACAATGGGGTCATTGTAACATAGTGATATCCGTCAGCCGGAACAATTGGTGCAAAGCATTTCTGGAAATTGAGATTTCCTGGTAACGAGACGACTCTCAAAGCCAGAAAAAAAAATCCCTCATCCCCGGAATTTTCCGTGTAACAGAACATTTTTCTCAAAAGTTACAGAAATGGCACATTACATCATCTCTTAAACCCAGAAGAATATCCCCCATCCCTGAAATTTTCCTGGTACTGTACTGTACTAGAAAATTTTTCCCAGATTTTCTGGAAAATGCGCCTGATTTTCATCTCTCAAGCCCGGAAAAAACCCCCCCTATCCCCGGAATTAAATGGGTACTGGGAAAATTTTCTTAAGAATTTTCCATAAAATGTGGCCCATGGAAAAAAATTTTCGAAGACAGAATTATCCGGGAAATTCCAGCTTTGGGAATGATTTTCTGAGAAAATTTCAATTCCAGCTTTTGGAGAGTTCTGGTTAAGAGGGATTCCAGCTAATGCAGATATTACTGTACTGTATACTACAATAGGTGATATGGAAATACAGTAGAACCTTGATAAATCGGATTTATTGGGTCAGAACCTAGTCCGAAAAACGAATATACAGTGGTCCCTCGGTTAATGACATTTCGGTTAACGAATTACCTTCCATAAGAATATTAAATTCGGTTAACGAACAAAAATTTGGTGAACGAAATTTTTACGAAAATGCTTTGGCTTGCTTACCAGCTGGAAGATTAGTCCGCCAATACAGAAATCGGTTCTAGGGCTTGCATTCGTTAAAATTGGAGTAAATATCAAGAAGGTTGTACTATTCAGTAATTTTCCAAGTTTTATATTAAAATTTTTAGTCATTTTAACACTTATTTAACATAATTGCAGTACAGGGAACTAGTTTTTGATGCGCCAATCAGCCACTTCACTCACCCAACAAGGCCTCAGTTTCTATCTCTGTTCAGTGGAGGAAACATCTTGCTTGTGGGTGTCTTGAACACAGTATTTTTACGTTTTTACAGTACAGTATTACCCCGCCTAACGCGGTTTCACTTAACGCGTTTTATCATATACGCGGTGCCTCGCCAGAGCTGAACTTTCACTTAACGCGGAATTTTTCATCATATACGCGGTGAGTGTCCGGCTCGAGACGCTATTTTTAGATTTTGCCCACGCGCCACCCGCCTGCCCGCCTGCCTGCCTCTCCCTCCTCCTCCCTCCGCTTGGGCAAGCCGCGCGGTAAGGTTGCGCAGTGTGTGTCATTGTTGCGTTATCACTGACGTCATATGACGTATCGGACTGTGATTGGCCATGCATCCCTACCCCCCTCTGCTGCTAGCTGTAATTGGCTTAAAGTATTATGACGTGACCACCCCGGGGAGGGAGGGAGGGAGGGAGGGAGGGAGGAGAGACGATGCTTGACATAGCTGCGGCAGTTTCATCCCTCAAGGCCACACCGTGTAAACGCGCATCCATTTTTCCGTAAAATGGCTTCCGCCGGACCACCACCGCCCCCAGAGAGAGACCTTTCCTTACCTGGACCCAGCGGCACTAAGCCAAAGAAGATACGACGTTCATTAAGCTACGAGGTGAAGTACCAAATTGTTCAAGATTTGGAGAAAGGAAGACGGCAAGTTGATCTCGCGCGCCAGCATGGCGTCAACGAATCTACGATTCGCACGATCAAGAAGGATGCAGCCAAGATCAAAGAGCACATCTATCAGGTATTGCCAGCACCCTGTTCTGGCAATACCTGATAGATGAAGTGGAAAATTTGCTGGTGAGTTATTTGGTTCGTCAGGCGCGACGCAACATGGCGGTGGACACGCGCTCAGTGCAGGAGTACGCACGTGAGCTATACGCAGCAGTGTCACATAAGCTGGGAATTGCAGAGCCCAAACCCTTCAATGCTTCCTCTGGTTGGCTGCATAGGTTTAAGAAGAGGAACAAGATCACCAACATCAACATTGGTGGTGAGGAAGCGAGTGCTGACCGTGTGGCGGCTAGAGATTTTCCTCCGTTCTTACGTGAGATTATGGAGGAAGGACAGTACAGTGACGACCAGGTGTTTAACATGGACGAATCTGGTCTTTTCTGGAAAAAGTTACCTTCCAAGACCTTCGTTGTCCAGTCTGCCAGCAAGGTAAGGGGTCGGAAGTTGCAGAAGGAACGCATCACCGTCCTGTTTACCACCAATGCCTCCGGTACCTGTAAACCAAAGTTATCGGTGATTCACACAGCCCGCAAGCCGCACGCCTACAAGAATATGGACATGAACAAGCTTAATGTCCACTGGCTAACCGCACGTAAGGCGTGGATGTCCTCTTCTCTGTCCCTCTTCTGGTTTGACAACTGTTTTGTTCCTGACGTGAAGAAATTCTGCGAGCAACAGAATGTTCCATTCAATATTTTGTTGCTCCTTGACAACGCACCTGGACACTCGCCCCTACTTATGGATCGTCACCCCAACGTAAAAGTGGTCTTCCTTCCTCCCAACACTACGTCATTAATCCAGCCCATGGACCAGGAGTTGATCTGCAATGTGAAAGCTGCGTACTCTGCAAAGAAGTTCAAGCTCCTGAACGACTCTACCAACACCAAGGATGAGTTGCGTAAGCTGGGTGACACCGACAGCGAGAGCAAAAGCGACGAGGACAAGGAACAAGAGGCGGTGACTCAAGAACTTCTCGTCAAACAATTTTGGAAGAAGTTTAACGTTAAACAAGCTGTAGACTTCTTGGTGGAGGCATGGGATCTGCTGACTATTGCTACGATTCGTCACGCATGGAGACATGTGTTGCATGGCATACCAGGTGAGAGGAGGAGTGAAC